GGGAAAGAACATATCCACTGGTATCTATAGGAGCAGACTCTAACCCAAGTGAACAAAGCAGTATCTGTCTTAAATCACCTGAAAATTCAACCCATAGTTTCAACAACCCATGATTATCCTTTGGTAAGACACATGATATAACACCCACAAGGACTAGAGTTTGCAAAAGGAAAATATTCAGTGTGTCTGACTTATCAAGGATCCAAATGCTTTGCAATACAAAAGAAAACAGTCCTCATTTAGAGAGAAACCAAACTACGCTGCACATGGACATTTTCATATTTTATTCTGAATCACCACTGTGAATCTCTGTCACATTGCTTCTCCAATAAACCACTTCATGAATCAGTTCCCTTCAGTCTCATTGTAGCTAAAAATATGACAAGCTAGCTACAAGTTTTACATCATGGCAATTTCAAAATCCTTTAATATTTAATCACTTCCCTAAATTATAGAACTGCTGTGATTTTGTCTCGACTCTATATTTTTAGAAGATCTCAGCTAAAAAAATTAAAAATAAAAAGATAATTTTTTAGGTCTTTTTCCCCCCTAATGACTGGTACACATCCCCAGTTTCAGTTCAACTTAATGGCAGAAAGTTACACTTTCCATGCTGCAATTGTGGGAAAACTCCATGTGACTTGCTGGCCTGACCCCGAGGACTCCCATGGGTCATACAACAGGAGGAATGAAGCAAAGACTAGAAAGTCGAGAGAGAGAAGGTACTTTAAAGCAGAATACAGATATCCTAGGAGATGGTCTCATTAAAATCAAGATAATTAGACAAGGACAGGAGATGCAAAACAGCCAATTAATAAGCAGTTTATAAAGAGCTGTGTGTTGACCACAGTGTTCACTTATATATCACAAAATACACCCAAAGAGGGGAAGTGATTTGTTCAAGGCCAAATAAAGGCTTAGGGAATGGGGAAGGGAAAGGTCCTCAGTTCACGCACCTATGCTCTATTCAAAGGTCATATTACTTCTCTGAACACATATCATGTCCTCACACCCCAATGTTTGCTTACATTTATCCATCTAGACAGTGAAAGAACTCAAATTGCTCTAATACCTGGGAACACAGGAATAAGAACCCCTTAAAAAAAAAAAAAAAAGGCAAGAAAAACATTTCATTTTCCCTGCTGGCAGCAACCCCCCTTCTTCATTTTACTGCTGCCTCTGTGCTAGCGCAGCACCAGGTAGGAATGCTTTGCGCTAGAACTGCTGCCTTACGTCAAGTGTTGATGAATTTTAAAAATGCAGTAAAGAAACCCATCCTCATTCATTACTGCTTTGATTATCTGTCTTCCTCTTATGTACCAACACGCATAGCAAGCTGGGTTTTGTTTTCCTTACAGCTTTAAGAGATCAGAGGTACAAGCTTATCCATTATTCAAAGGATGAATTATCCATCCAACTGTCTAATGTAACAGTGCACGATGAAGGCGTATACAAATGCCTCTACTACGGCATCCCATTCAAAAGCAAGAACAAGACTGTTGAGGTATTAGGTAAGTTCCTTCACCCACTTTGTTCCAGAGGAGCGGAACAACAGAGCCAGCTCCTCAACTCCAGACCCGCGCTTTTGCATGCAATCCTACAGTGCTTAACACAACATAATCCCGGTCTTAGCTCAGCCCCCCCAAATAACGCTGCCTATGCAGCCATTCATAAAACCGAGTAGAAAGATGTACTATAACTGATTCTAAATCTCATTGCTGCAGCTGCTCCTTCTAATCCAGTACTGGAAGTATCCCAAGACTCAGAACGAAGCATTACACTGTCTTGCTATACCCAAGGATGTAAACCGCGGCCCCAGATTACCTGGCTGTTGGACAACGGGATAGAGCTCCCTGGTAAGTGTTAAAGGACCAGGGACAGATCACTAGGAATTTCTTCGTGTCAGCCTCAGGCACGTTTAAAGATACTAGAGCCTGAAACACCTTCTGCAACACATCAGCTAGGACTACCACTCATCCTCCATTCATTTAGTACAACTTGGTTGGAGAAAAGTTAGCACTAAATTCCAGTGTTTGTGCAAGGGAGAGGCCTCGTCTGCTTTGCTCACATTCAGTGCAGAACAACAACACTTGGCACCAAAATCCCTTGAGAGTCTGGAGTGAAATTCCACTGAAATAAAACCAAAACTCTGGAGGCACAATTTTCAAAGCCCCAATATAAAGTCAGTTAACAAATCCATTATAACTACTTCCATCTTGTAACCGGTAGACAGATTTTCCTCAGCTTTGCCGAGCAGCTCGCAGACCCCACCAGCAGCCTCTCTCTCTCGTGGATCCGTTCAGAGCCAGGCAGCTCAGGAGCAGAAGTGAGAGCTGAGGAAAAACAGCCCACACCACTCTGCAACGCTCCCCGCATCGAGAGGTCTGCGTGAACACACACGAGGAGGAACAGAGCCACCACAAGGCTCAATTTAACTTGTGTACTATATAAAGAACTGCTTTGAAGGCCATGTTCTAACAATAACTACCTTATTAGCTGTGACTGTAGCACAGCAGACGGGAAACGCGCATCTGTATCAAAGCATGAGGAAAATACATTTGCATCCATGGGTATTTTCTTTCACATATTAACAAGCTCTTGTTTATATTTTGCATCATCAAGCAACACATTCAAAGCTTAGCATGTAATCTTCCTCCCCACCCCACCTCCAAGATGGCTTTTTTGACTAAGAGCTCTAGAAAACAAGAGAGAAGTATGCAGGCCTGAATATAGCTAGAAATCAAGACTTAAAGAAAAAAAAAATCCAGGCTGCCTGATACACAGGCATTAAGGCAACCCCATAAAGCCCTGCGCTTTAAGGACTTGCACTCAGGGGAAGCAGCATAGCTGGTAGGTGAGTCCCATGAAAGGGCAGAGAGCAGCTGCTATTGCGGGGAAAGATGCTCTGGGGTCTTGGAAACACCCGTTCTAAAAATCCTACATGTGTTTGGGAAGAGCTGGGCTCTGTGGGGCTGTAAGGGCTTGAGGGAACACCAGCTGTGATGTTACAAGGAGCTCAGGGAAGCAGTATATCACCTCTAAGTTCTTATATACATTTTTCCCAGTATTGTTCTAAAAACAGGGGTTTCCTTAAACTTGAAACAACCTCAGTTCCAGTTTGATAAAATGTATTGCTTGTAACATCACGGCACACAACTCAGACACTGAACACCCCCCACAACCCCTAAGTAAGCCATGCATTTCTCCACTTATTTTAACAAAAACCAATACTTACCTGTATCTCCTCCTTGCCTTTGTAGCACTAGTCCAGTCAGCCATTAGAGCAAGCCACCCCAAGGAGAATAAAACAGCCCAGCCTAGCTAAGCCCAGCCTTGACCTCCCACCCCATGGCCACCTGGGAACACAATTAAGCCCCACAGGGCCCTGTGCTGTGTTAGGTTGCTTGGTTTCACCTGTGGCTGGTTTTCGGAGGAAGGAATATTTGCATGACGAGGTGCTGATTTAATTAAAATGCACGAATTAAAATGTTTGAAGGGGAAAAATAACTGCCCTAATTCACTGTTTCTCAAACTTTCTGCTTGTGCCTTTCCTTTCGTGTTACTCTTTGAGCAACGCTCCTTTCTCCCCCTTCCATTCTCAGCTTTAATCACTTACTGCAAATATTTATACTAATCAGAAAATAGCTAATACGGCGTAATTACTGGCAGCACCTCAGTTCCACCAGGGCTCAGCAGGGGCAAACCAGCTGTAATTACTGAGCTGCTGCTGACAAAGATTATCTCCTCCCTAGCAAAAACACTTTGAAATCCTTTTGAGCTTTTACGTGACCCTGCTGGGGATGGAAAAGAGGGTTGAGAAATACTGGTCTATGTGATACAGCAAGTTATCTGTAAAGGCTAATTTGGAAACAAGGAATTTCTTTCATTTAAGAAATAAGGGTGTCACCAAGGGTAACAGATCAAGAGAAAGCATCAGTTTGTTTCCAGGGAACCTTTACATTATGAACAGACATTAGAAATTATTGTGCCACCGTGGGCATTTAAGGTAAACATCTGAAAAAAACTCCCTCTCCACCAGAGCTATTCAAACACGTGTCTTTGTGTCACATGAAATGTATCTTTATTTTTCCATATCGTATAAATGAGTAGAAGTCAGTATCACCGAGAGGACTAGGAACTACATCAGACAAGTGACATGACTTTCTCTAATTCATTATAGCAAGGCAATTAATCTTTGTGTTTAACTTCCCCCAGGTGCAAAAGGGGAAGAGTCAAACCTGCATTGTAGGGATGATGGAGGACTCGCACAGGATTTCACAGTCATATAAATGTTTTTTTTATTACAAATGTAAATATTGCACAGCAATATTTATTGTGCAGATTTATCAATATGCACAAATATTGCACAACTTATTTTTATGTTTGGGGTAACAAATCCACAGCTATTGAGACACAGATTCAATGCCCTTGGATATCACATAGCAGAATCAGAACTTTTCTAGATCTCAGTCGCGCTGCAAAGCAGCAGGTCCTCGCCCTGAGGCTCCCCGCTATGTGCCATGCATGGCTGCGGCACACAGCAAAGCAATTTATTCCGTTCAGTAAGGACCAAAAGTGCCGGTGGGTGTTTGGCCATTTCACCGCAGTCCCGCAGAGCGCTGCAGGGGAATTTCCCCACGTGAGTCATGAAACGGAGCTGAGGCTTTGGGGTGAGCGCAGGAGATGCAGCAAGGTCTGCACTTCAACAGCTGCCGGGGAAGAAAACATGACCTTGCTGCCTTTGGGCTCCCATGTAATCCATTTACACAATGAACCACTTGTGCACAGTAATCAGGTGCTGCTTTAGCACAGCAAAGTAATGCAGATTGCACCTGGAAGGTTTTTTCATTAAATTGCTCTTGACTAGAAAGCACTTAAATGTTTTCTTCCAATGGGTGTATAGGTGACACTAAGCACAAGTTAGAAGCTGATGGGAAGAAGTGGACCACAGCCAGCACACTGACAGTCCTCGCCTATGGGCCCAATTCAACAGCCAGCTGCATCGTTCACCACCGAGCACTAAGAGAAGAGACGCTGATGGCATCTTTCCAGTTTGAGGACCTCCCCAGGACGGGTACTGCGGGCTCCTTCAGCAGTGGCTATCCCATTTTACCGCTCTGAGGTGGTGAAAGTTATGCAGATACACATGCAAAGCTGAAGCTCATAGTCTACTGCCCCATGTGTGCCATCTATTTTTAAATAAGAGGGCTACCTGGTGCAAAAGAAGAACTCCGAACTAAGATTTGGGGGCTCTTTACTGCTTCTTAACTACCTTAAAATTCATTAAACATTAAGCCACAGCAGCCCAGGCAGGTCAGCTCTCCAATGCTGCTGCTAGAATTCAGGTGATGTTTGTCCTAAAACTTTAAAGATAACTTGAAGTTTACATTCTCAAGAAGCAGTGAGCTTCCCACGTCTTGTGCATATTAGACACATGCACCTGGAAAGCTAGCAGGGTGTAAATATTGTAAATTAACACTGAAGCTGCTTGTCTAATAATTCTCAGAGTAGAGTTTGCCTTCTACCTATTTACTCATCTTTAGGATGAATCTAATTATTCCTACTTCATTCTTCCTTAGATTGCTTGATTCAACAAACGCTCTGAAAGTTGTACTGTTGTTGGTTTTTTTCAGTGACAAAAACAAACCCTGCACCGGCTGCGCTAGAGGTGGATACACGTGTCTCTGAGAACAAGCAGCCTACAGGTAGGCATTAACTGCTTGGCTTCTTGTTAATTAATGCCCAGGTCAGGTAAACACAGCATCCGTCACCAGTTGCCATCAGCACCAAGGGACATTTTGCACAGCCTTCCGAACCGCTTTGGTTTTGTCCCCAGGGACAGCAGCAGGGTCAGATCTGAGCAGCAGCGTGCCTTCCGCTCCAAGCTGCCCACAGCATACTGTTTCACTTTCGGTTTTTTTCCCTCATTTTATAGCGTTAAATACATTCAGAGGACAGGGAAGCTGAAGGTGGGAGGGTAGGACTGTAGGTCTAAGCACTGATCAGATAAAGTACCCAAACAGTCTGAAGCATGGAGCATACGTGGCAGGTTTTGTTTTTAAAGGATCAGTTCAATGGCAAAGTGTGTCTTCTGATTTTTGTCTTGTGGTTGGGGGGGTTTTACTTTAGGATCTGAACAACCAACCATCCCTTCTACAGTACCAGAGGATCCAGTAGTTACCAGCTCAGCGTTAACACAAGCCCAGCAAAACCTCCAAACAGAAGTCACACCTACTTGTAAGTTTGATCTTGGTTACATGAATTTAGCAAACCAGGACAGAAATGCTACTGAGCACAGAGTTAACATTCCACCTTACAAACAAGCACATAACATGAAACGCAGCATTTCTTGCTTGTGGGGCGAGACCTCAGTTTTACAGCCATGAAAGCAGACAAAGTCTCTCTCGTTAGATGAAGGAGAACATCAGCATTAGCAGCCGCAGCCAGACCGGCCACTCTCGCAGCATGGTGGGAGCCCAGGCTGGGATTTCTCAGGAGGGTTGCCGTAGGTAGCACTGTGCAATAACAGTTCTCTGGGCATGCGGCGGGCTGCGGGCTGCAGTTAAGGAGCTGAGGAGTTGGTTCCAGCAGAAGAAATGAAGAGTTCTGCTGCCCAAATCGGTTGGCCAAAACCCGCCGAGGTGGGCACACGCGCCTGCTTAGTGCGACAGGCCCTGCAGTGAAAAATCAATTGGCTGTTTTAGAAACACATGAACTCTTTGTTTAGATTTGTTTAAAAGTGCTACATCAGTGATTACAAACATCACAGAACGGCTACATCTCGGTAAACAATTCATACGTATGTTGATAAACATACATGGAAAAGGAGACTGAATCTTTTAACAGGACTTTCACTAGGTGTGCTTACATACCAGATAAGGAAGAAAACCTCTTAGGAATGTAAAGTTTTGGTAGACACAGCACGCATTACCATTTTAGTTTTACAAATCCAAGTTAATGACACAAGGATATATTGTCTGTGTGCAGAAGAACAGCAGAGCTCACCTCTCTGTTTGCGCAGGGTCTGAAGTAACGCCGGCTGCGACAGGGGAGGAAGAATTGGCTGGTTCGTCGTCGAGTTACCGTGTCCCCAACGGTACGACCCGACATCATCGGATGTGGGTGGCGGTGGCAAAGGATGGGGATCCTCACGCTGGGTGACTGCACCGCTGTGAGCTATGAAGGCAGTAAAAGAGTAGTCAGGGGCATGAATACAAAAAAAAAAAAAATCTCCTTTAAGGAAAAGGGTGCATGCTTATTCCTGGTTTTGCAAGCAAGGGGAAGCAAACGGATGGACAGGGAAAGCCCCCAAATGACCAAAGAGTCAAAGCTCAGTTTTGTTTTAATTTGGCTGTAAATGGGAAACATTGGGTTCAACAATGAGTAAGAGACTCTGAGAATTTTCTGTTCATAAAGCTTAGGTGGTCTTTAGATTAAAACAAAATACAGCGTTAAGGAAGCGAACGCAGAGCTGTAAGTCAAGGGCTCCACAAGTCCCTTTCTGCTGCACTACCAGGTGCCCTGGACTTAAAAGCTGCTGGGAAAACACGCATTTCTTAAGCAGCCCTTCGCCCTTCAGAGAAATACTGTTCTTCTTTCCATTCCTCCAGGGACCGAAACAGCGTTCAATGGCAGTACGACAGAAGAGGAACTTTCCAGGACGGAAGCCCCACCACCAAGTGAAAACGTAACTGTGATTTCCATCATCACCTTCGGTACGAACTCTTTAATGACAGCTTCCAAACATGCAACGAGCTTTCTTACACCAAGCTGGTTCTCTCTGGCCACGTATCCACCTCTAAACCTTTTGTTAGTACAATGGGGTAATGCTGGCTTGCAGTTTTGGGGAGAGACCACAAAACCACAACAATTTTTATCATCTAAAAAAAAAAAAAAAGAGCTAAATTTTACTGGTTTGTTGTGCCAGAGCATGAGTCCACTGATTTTAATCAGTTTTTCTTGTTCATACAAGAAGAGAAAGTTTGACCTCACATCCCAAAATTAAGTCCAATAAGGTGACTTCCCCTCGCCCACCATGTTCATCTGGCCTGGTCCAGGATATATTGTTCTTGTCTTAATTACCAGAGACTCACAGGAAGCTATTTAACAACACAAACATACCCCTGCCTCTTCTACAGAGCAAGACCTGAAATCTGAAGGCATCAAAAAGAGGGAGAACAATCTCTTGCTGCCAATCTTGGTGGCTGCTCTGATTTTCGTGCTGCTCATCATTGTCCTGCTTTTTATGAGGAAGCTGAAAAAAGCTCATGGAGTGTGGAAGAGAGGTGGGTGATGGCTCTCTCCGAGCAAGTACTGATGCTGCTTTCTTCAGAGGGGCTGGAGAGCTGAGGAACCTGTTAAGCAGAGACAAGACACGGCTCCTCCAGCCACCGATTAAATGTCCCTCTCCCACAGAGAGCGACTGTGACTTGTTGCAAACAACTCTTGAAGAGTCCCTGTAACTGATGGCCTCGGGGCACGCTTCAACTGACATGAGGTGCCACAAAAGTCAATGAAATTGTTGTCTTAAGCATATCTCTTAGACGGTCAGGATGATTGAACCCCCATTTTATAACTAGTCTCTTAGGATTTTTATGCTCAAGGCACAGAGTGAGGAAGAGTCACGGAAAAATCTCATCATCTTAATTACATTTGTTTTCTGCACAGAAAATGATGTTTCCGAGCAGACACTGGAGAGTTATAAATCCAAATCTAATGAAGACAGTCCAGGCCATGAGAAGAATGGACACGGTAAAAAGCTTTAAGCAACATAAACTAATTCCTCTTTGCTACTGACCACAGCCAGAGTAGATTGCAGTCAATCTTACTATACAGAGATATTTGCAAACTGCACATTTTAAACCTGAATATTCTAAACCCAGACCTTTCATACGCAGAGGTCCACTACAGATATTGTAGCTTCAGCAAGAGTAATGCAGAACCGTGCAAAATGAAAAGCATTGCTTTTTATTTGATAGGTCAGACTGGATAATCACAATGGGTTTATCTAGTTTCTAAATATAATCTACTGAAACACTATTAAAAACAATATGCATGGTATGTATGCCACTATCATTAAACTGTCCCGAATGGCTCTTACCTGATTTCACCACCACCGAAACATCAGTGCTTCATCAGTCCTGTCCTCAGCCGGTGCCTACAGACGGAGGCAGGTCTGTCAGCCTCCTCAGGTGGGGTATGTCTGCTCCACCCTTGGGACTTTTGTCTAAGCAAAAGCAGATTTCAGCAGGTAAATCAGCCCAGATGGCAAGAATGAGGGAACTTTGCCAACATCTTTCAATATGAGTTTATTGCAGCACCTAAACAGAATTAAAAGGGGGCTCATAATTATTGTCAAAATATTTTCAAAACTTTCAAAACTTTTCAAAGTTTTCAAAACTTTCCTTCTTTTTCAAATGGTTTAAAACACTAAATATTTAAACTGTTTCTAGTACAAACTAGTGCCTTGAGTATTGTGTAACCTGCATTAGATCACATCTTGCATCTCAGTCTTTGCTGCGATGGATGCTCTAACAATTTTTGGAAATGCGTGTCATCTTTTATTGTTCTATAACACTCTAATTAATACGTATTTCAAGCAGGTACACACACCCCCCACCATACAAAATCAGTAGTGAATGTGTGTTTGTCTTTCAGTTGTCAATCAGAAGTCCAATGTGGAAACAACACAGAGGAATCCAAGAGACAAAAGCATTACAATAAGTGAGAAAATGTTTGGATATGGAAAGGAAACGGCTGTATAGCAATGGCAAATCTGTATAATGTGCAGAAACATGACTGTTTCCTGATATTTATATTACAGCATTCAGATGTCAATATGATTTCAAGGAGCAGAGGTACAAACAGCTACCCTCAAGCCAAAAGTCAATTGGGAGTGCTTTTCTCTGACCAGTGGGACAGTAGATGAGACCCGTGCTCCTAGAAACCTGTTAGCAATGAACACACTGATTTACCTGTCATCCTCAGAGGATTTAACTAACCGCTGCCAGAAATAGAGCTCATCGATCCCACCTCAGGTCCTATCACCAATTAAAGTCCTAGCAAGGGAACATGCAATTAGCCTCGAGGGCCGCAAGACAGAAAGATATTCCTGTAATGTTTCGGCCACCTCCTCTGCAAGCATGGGACTGAGCAGGAAACCCTGGGAGCTGCAAACCAACCGGGACTTGTATTATCTCATTCTGACCCCAAACCTGGACATCCAGCTGCATTTAACCAAGCAGGAAAGCATCCTGATGTCCAAAGTGTTGGTTTTTGGTTTTTTTTTTTTAAAAAAAAGGTTGTTCCCCCTTGGTAGGACTTCTGCCACAGTTTCTCACCTGTGCAACGGTAACATCACTCTCTGCTGTGCGAGACCGCATCAGCACCAGTCTGCAAGGCGCTCCGAAGCCGAAACATTTGGGTGCTACGATGGTAGAGCCTCCCCCATCCCCTACACTTCCAGGGGTGTTACCGAGAATATGGAAGTCTTCGAACAAGGGGTTGGCAAACGTGAAGAGGGCGCATGATGTTCCGCACGGGACTTCCCAAACCCACC